GACCACATCTGCAACTTCCTCGAGTGCGGCAGGTACCGGCCGGGGAGGGGCTGTGCCGGGCTGTGCCTCGCCCAGATGGCCCCCCCAGAGCCCTTCAGCCCTCCCCGTGTCCCCACAGCCTGTTCGGCGGCTCGGACTACAAACTGATCTACCGGCACTATGCCACGCTGTACTTTGTTTTCTGCGTGGACTCCTCGGAGAGCGAGCTGGGCATCCTGGACCTCATCCAGGTGTGTCCCTGCAGGGTCCCATCCCTGGGCACAGCCCCGCCCCGACACCTTTCAGGTGCATTTCATGCCCGTGGCATCCCTGTGCCAGCCCTGGGAGGCCTGAAGAGCCACTCGGGGGCCACAGGGGGAAGGGGGGGCTGCACGTGCCCTCTGAGCCCATTTGTGGCTGCTCCGCCACGGGCAGAGGGGGAGAAGCCAACCCAAATGAATGGCTTTAAAAAAGAGAACCATAGAATCATTTCAGGATGGAAAAGACCCTTAAGAGCATCAAGTCCAAAAGTTAATCCTAGAATCATGGAATCCCAGGTTGGCAGGGACCTCAGGGATTGTCTGGTCCAACCTTTCAGTTCAAAGCACGGCCTAGACAAGGCCCAGCACCTTGGCCAGATGCACCTGAAGGCGTCCAGCATCAGGGAATCCAATTACTTCCTCTGTAAGATTATTCCAATGGCTGAGTGTTTTGTTTGGGAAAAATTTTCCTTTTATGTCTAACTGGAATCCCCCCAAGAGGAACTTGTATCCATCACCCTGTGACTTTCCATATGACTCCTTGTATGAAGGGAGTTTCCAGCCTTTTAGCCACCCTTTAAACACCGGGACATGGGGAGAAGATCCCCCCTGAGCCTCCTTTTCTCCAGGCTGAGCCCCTCCAGCTCCCTCAGCTGCTCCTGCTGCTCCAGCCCCTTCCCCAGCTCTGTTCCCTTCCCTGGACAAGCTCCAGCCCCTCAATGTGTCTCTTGTCTGAGGGGCCCAGAACTGGATACAGCCCTCGAGGTCTCAACAGTGCCAGCAAAGGGACAGGCACTGCCCTGGCCTTGCTGCCACAGCAGTGCTGGCACAGCCCAGGGGCCACTGGCCTCCTTGCCCGCCTGGGCACACTTGGGCTCATGTTCAGCTTCTGTCACCAGCAGCCCCAGGGCCTTTTCCATCTTTCCAGCTGCTCTGCCCCATGTCTGGAGCGTTCCATGGGACTGTGTGACCATCTTGCCTCGTCTCTGTGCTGACTGTCCTTTCTGCTTCCCCAGGTGTTTGTGGAGACACTGGACAAATGCTTTGAGAATGTCTGTGAGCTGGACCTCATCTTCCACATGGACAAGGTGGGTGGTGGGCTCCATGCTGCTCCAGAGCCTGCGCTCCCACAGGCAGGAGCTGGCCAGGAAAGTGTGGGGGCATCAGGGGTCACTGTGTGGCCAGGGATTGCGATCCTGGGTGCGAAGATATTCAGCCGGGGGTCTTAGAAAGCTGCATCGTGTTCTCTTGACAAGAGATCCAAGTGCTAGGCTGCTCTGAGCCCAGGGGTGAGCTGTGCCCAGCCATGGTTCAGGGACTGGTGCCAGGTGACCGCAGCCAGGTGACAGGGATCTGTGCTCCAGGGCTGTGCTGGTGGAACTGGGCAGGCTCTGGTGTGGTGCTGGGGCGTTCTGCCTCTGCCCCAGCTGTGACACTCCTTGGGAGTCCTTAACGTTTTACTACAGCTGCAGGGGAAAAAAAGGGAAGGAACAATGGCTGCAGGAAAAAAAGTGAACAAACAATGGAGGTATTTGGAATTCAAAGTGTTGGGTAAACTTTGGTTTGAGCCACAGCCTGTAATGCTTCCTCTTGAGCTGGACTGAGTTTCTGGGCGGAAACCCGTCCCCTTTGATCATCTCCTGGGTCATGAGGCTGAAGATAGCCAGGAGTAGATAGCCAGGAATAGGCTTGGAGCAGGGAGAGGCTTGGCTGACAGTGCTGCTTGCATTGCTGTTGATCAAGATTTTCTTGCTTTGCTGAAGACAAAAACATGTCAACAAAAAAGAGCAGTGGAAAAGAAAAATGTCCCCTTTCTGTTGGTGATTCCAACTTGGGAACTGGCAGGGAAGGGGAGTGAGCAGGTGAGTGGGTGGGGTCTCTGTGTTCCCAGCTGCTTATATCTAGCTTTGGTTTTACCGTTTACCCAGCTGTAACCTTTCCGAAATGCCACATGATTATGTTGTCAGCAAAAGCACTTATCAAGGGTTTATCAAAGGAGGAATGAGGGAGGAGCAGCCGTGGGAGAAGCAGTGGCAGTTGCCCAGATCACCCCTGCCCGCAGTGGGGGGAGGATGTGCTCATGGGGTCTGACCCTGTGGATGACCAGGACCTGGCAGCTTTTTGCTCAGCCTTACTCTGGGTTTACACTGAGCCCTACAGCCAGCCTGCAGCCCTGGGGCAGGGCACCTCACCCCATAGCCCGTCAGCTCTGCCAGCAAGAGCGGGGTCACCCTTCCTCTGACCTCTCCTGCCTGGAAAAATGTTCAGGAGACAGGAATCAGGGGGTTCTGATAGGGGAGATCGTACAGCTCAGTCATCCCAGACCCTCCCAGCCTTGTTTACTTCGCGTCCTGTGCTCCTGCCGCTTCCAAGCTTTGACTTGAGTCTTGGCCCCTGTCAGTTGGTCCTCCCGTCTCTTTCTATATTTGGCACGTGTTTATTTCTCGGATGTGCTCATGTTCCTGTGCTTCCAGGAGCTTGGTCACAGAGGGACAGTGTTTGGGGTGCTGGGAATGTACCAGTGCGTCCTGCTGGGCTCTGGTTTGCACCCCTTGGATGCCCTGGCAGGGTTGTGAGTGTCTCCCCAGGCAGGGGCTGACAGGAGTTCAGGTGCAGATTTGGCTGCATCCTGTGATTTCTGTCTTTGCCTCAAGATTCACCTTGCACTACCTGCAGCACAGGGGTTGTAGGACCAGAACTGCTGCAGATCTGGAGCCCTGTGCCTGCTGTGGACAGATGAAGGAGGACATTGGTTGGGCACCAGTGACACCAGTGCTTTTATCTGAGCTTTGGGTTCCCCAGCCTCAGAGCTGCGGGGCCCCCCTGTCACATGGGGAGGCTCAGGGGGGATCTGTGCCCACCTCCCGGTCGTGCTTCCCACTTTGGAGAGGAGCATGAGCTGCACTCAGCAGCTGTGGGGTCCTGCAGGGGACACGGATTGCTCAGGAAGTGCTGTGCTTCGGCTTGGAAAACAAAGCTTGCTCAGGATTTCTGCCCCGTTGGTGTTGGGCCAACTTGGGCTGAAGCCAGACCTTGAAGGAACATTTCCTGATGTTCCCAGATGCTGTCGGGCTGTGGGGGCTGCTCGCTCTGGCCGGCGCGGTGTGCGCTGGGGCTGGGCTGTGGGAGGGGGGTCCCAGGGCTCTGGGAGGCCCAGGAGCTGCCATGGTACCCGTGGCTCACCCCGTGCTGTGCTGGTCCCACACACCTCGCTGCTCCGGGCACTGTCGGAGCAGGATGGAACTCATGGGGAGCCCTGGGATGGATCACCTCACATTTGGCACAGAGCTTGGTCTCCCCCTTGGAGCAGGTTTTCTCATTGTCTTTATTCTCCCCAGCATTGCCCTGGCAGTGTTTGCCATGTGGTGTTGACAAGTGCACCCTGGCCCTGTGAGGCCATTAAACAATCTCGTAACCTGACCATGCTCCTGCACAGCCTCTTTCGTAGAAGTAACTGGGACCCATAAATCCATTATCTGTGCCAGGAACTCAGCAGGAGCTGCTGATTGTGCAGGGAATGCCTGGCTGAGCTGGATGCTGGAGTTCAGGGTAATTGCAGCCACCAGCACAGCCTGGCTGCCACCCTGGGGCTGGTTGGGATTTCTGAGATTGCAAACCATGAGTGGCCCTTTCCCTGCCGTGGCTGTATGATTCCACCAGCCTCCCTTGGCTGTTCATCCTTGGACCTAAGGAACCCCAGGGAAGGAAGGAATAGACTCCCTTGGCAGTTTTGTGCTTTTTCTGTGCCTGTATCACAGTCCTGTCTTTCCTAAGAGACAGTGGAGAAGCCAGGCTCTGGCCTGGCTTTCTGGGGAGAAGGAGCTGCTCCTGGGGAGAAGTGTCCTGCCCGGTGGGGTCCCTGCTGCCCACTAGGGTCCTCTCTAGCACACATTCCTGCTGTGACCTGGGTCCTGGCCCAGGGAGGGATCAGACTTCACTGGCTTTGTCAGAAGTGGTGCAGCCAGGCTGTGCCAGCAGGATGGTTGGATCTGGCCTCTCTGAGGGCTGCCCTGTGCCCGGTGGTCTGTTTGCTCTGGCTTCTGGGGTGGGTGTTTTCTAGAGCACAGGTGGTAAATAGGACTGTGGGACTTCCCATGCCAAGGACCATGGCCACCTTCTCATTCTCTGGGCAGCTGAGGAGGGGATGGAGGTGGATTTATCTCCTTAGGGGAGATGCTGGCCCCTGACATGCTTCCATACCAGCACTGTGGCCGCTGCCAGGCCAGGGCTGGGCTCTCAGCCTTCCCTTCCCTTCTTCCCTCCTGTTAGGTTCACCACATCCTGCAGGAGATGGTGATCGGTGGGATGGTGCTGGAGACCAACATGAATGAGATCGTGGCACAGGTGGAGGCCCAGGGCAAGCTGGAGAAGGCAGAGGTGAGCGTTGATGCTGTGGCTTTGCCCCATGGGGCTGACGGACCCTGGGCTGCGAGGGGAGCTGGCCTGTGAGGTCTGGGGTGGGCATGTGGGGGAGACATCTGGGCTATCCCCAGTTTCTGCCTGCCCGAGCCCTCGGGGTGGGGCTGGGGACATCAGCAGTTCAGGAGCACGGGGGAGCTGCCCAAGCATGGGAGTGGCTTTTCCCATCAGGATAATGACCTGAGGCAATAAAAGGTTTATTGCCCTGTTTGCACTGTCACTGGTAAGATGCAGCTGCCTGGGTGCTGTGGGGCAGGGGCCAGTGGTCACAGTCTCTCTGTCCCCAGGGAGGCCTCTCGGCCGCTCCTTCCCGCGCTGTGTCAGCCGTGAAGAACATCAACCTGCCCGAGATCCCCCGCAACATCAACATCGGGGACATCAACATCAAAGTGCCCAACCTGTCGCAGTTCATGTGAGCAGCCCATGGCAGGGGCCAAGCAGAGCTGGGGTCCCTGGCTCCTCTCAAGGACTGCCTGTGTGGTACCCAGGGGCCAGTGTTGCCAGGATACCTGGGCTGACCGAGGGCAGGGAGCAGTGGCAGGGCTCAGAGAATGGGATGGAGGGTGTCTCACCCTGGACCTGGGCTCAGTTCTGCTCTCTGGTCCCTCAAGAAGGCGGGTGCCCTTCCTTCCCCTCCCTCCCCATGGAAGTGCAACCTCTCCTCACTGGGGGGAAGAGCCGGTTCCTGCCTCTCCCAGGATTCTTGGGATTCCCAGTGGTAAATGCATGCCTGTAGTGACAGCTTCATCAGGAGCTGCAGGTTGTCTTCTCCATCCTCCTGGCCATGGCTGTCCCCTGCCCTGGTCCTGCTCACTGGGATGGGCCCCAGCTGGGTGGGGGTCACTCCTGGGAGCTGCTGCAAACCCTGGGCACAGTGTGGGGGGGACCCGTGGGAGCAGGGACATGGCAGCGAGAGGGATGGGAGCTGAGTGAGCTGGGGGATGAGCAGGTGGCAGCTCACAGGGTCAGGCCAGGCTGGGGCTGCTTGAGTGTGTTCCTGTGTCCCAATAAACTGCCCTTGAACCCGTGTCTGTGTCTGCTGTGGGTGCCGCTGG